ATAAATTCATTTTTTAAATATACATGTACCTAGTCTCTAAAAGTAAAATTGTTCTTACCACGAAAACAGGCGCATCCGTATAAATTATCGGGTTTATTATATATTGATATCGTAAAAATTCAGCCAAAAACCACAATGTGAACCTTTTTGGAGAGTATGTGAGCGCAGCGAACGAACGAACAAATAAGTTAACAAAGTGTCGAGCGGCTGATTTTTTTATAATATTTATAAGTTCAGAACACTTTAATCCTTTTATCATTCTATGTCTTGTAATTTCATCCTTATTATGACTGACTGACGACGTCTCTTTACACACTGTGACGTCTCTGATAACTTCTTTCCAGACATCGTGACCGTTATACGAGAACTACGGAGCGACTGAGCAGGGTACTATAGGCGAACTGAAGAACGATACCATTTTTATCACCGGATTACTTATTGAAATATTTGCCACTGGATGTTTCAAAAGCAACAATTAATCAATCAATCAACAATTAATTTTCCCTCTTTGATTGTGTGTCTTATAAAACGTAGGGTGTCGATAATTTTGACAAAAAACACTTGATATAGCCTGTTGAGATCATTTCAGGAATCGAATTCTTACACTTTTAAACATCTCGTTTGATTATATATGTCCGTTTACCAACAATGGACAGACTTTATAGGTCGAATCATAAATCAATGAAAAGTCCGCTTATTAACTGTTAAATTCATTTTCTACTAATCTCTGTCTAGTATCCGACTCGAAGTGTTTTTCAGGACCACGTGTCTTGATTTGAATGTAATATTTACCACTGGACATAAATCTCCAACCTTCTGCAGGAGTTTGATCGAATTGTTATTTCACACAGTTCACACATTTGACTGTGCTATTAATCTTTCTATTGTAGAACTACAGATATTGTCATTTAAAAGGTTTTATGATCTGGAACATTGTGATTGAGAGTTTTGTTTATCAACAAGACTTTTATTTGGTATATTTATAAATGACATAAACAGTTTTACAGGTTCTTTAATTTTAATATCTTAACGCTTAAATTCAGGACGCGATTTAAAATTTGATGTATGGTATATATACTTGTCTAAAAAGATCATATGACTTTTATTTTCATATTCTTTGTATATGTAAGAGAATGATAACCCTTTCTTCATGATTAAGTACGAGCGTTATATTAATAATTTATTGTGTAACAGTTGCGGATGTTTTTAATATACACCAGTTATTTTGTTTTATTGAGTCTGCTCGATGAGCTGTTATGAAATAGTTACTTTCAATATTCATTATAAAAATATGATTAACTTCGTACAAGCCGATGGGTTAAACCTGTTTGAAAAAAGCCTGGGATGGAGTAACTTCCCTTGAAAAGAATATTAAATAGAGTATTTTGTGCGATTCACCATCCCCTGGACATTCTCGACCGCTTGTTAGATTAAAATATAGCATAGAAACTAACACATTAAAAGAAAACATGCTTTAAAAAAACTGGTATTACTCACTAAAAAATATGTATTGTAAAACAGTGAATTAGTGTAGCAGCTTTGCGTTACAATTGTATCGCACATATTTTATCAAAAATAGGAAGATCTTAATCAAGCTGCGACACGAGGTACTCTCGAGAGAAAACTACTTTTGATCCTTGAACCTACTATAGAAGTGGGATATTTTTTTAATATTATAATCTCTTACAATAAATATTGTCCATTATCTCACAGTCTATAGAAATCGAAGCAAATATCAACATCCGTTAAATTGTTTTCTTACAACGTCATACGAAGCTTTTAGCCCGGGTTTTGTATTTCAGTAGTTATTGCTGTTTGATGTCTGTCATATACTGCATAGGCGGATCCAGGGGGGGGGCGGGACCCCCCCCCCCCATTTTTGTGGGAAAATTTGAATGATTATATAGGCCCCTCCTTAGGTTAGTCAGTGGGCCACCCTTAGAAAAAGTTCTGGATCCGACACTGTACTGGTATGTATTTTGTATATATATTTTTTTTTTAGCTTAAATGCGACCGGTTGTTTTGTTATATTCATACTTTTTATATTTCATCAACATAGTATACAAGTTATAATTAAGGCCACACAAAACAAATTAGGCCTTGATAAATAAACATGATAATAACAATATCATAACACTATATAAAAAAGTGTATGTGCACTATTGAGGCCATGCGGTCAGATACAAATTCTTATATTCACGTCATGTATTCATTCCTTATCTGTGTTTATGCTTTGTGTCAATTTTCACATGACTGGCACTTTTTTCTTATGATATAAATATTGTTAAAGGTATATTACTTATTTGTATGCTAGAATGGGCCTCGGTGGCACAATGGTCAAAGAAATTCGACTACTGTATCACTCGCCTGTCATTACTGAGGTTGTGAGTTCGAATTGCGCACTTGGCAGATGCATTCTACTCGAGACTTAATTTACTACCATTGCCAATTCTCTTCCAGGCGCTCCCGCTTTCACAAGAAATGAATACCGACCTCCCCGAAATAGCCAAAAGTGCTACTGGTGGCATTAAACGCCAACCAATCAAAAATTATATATAAGAAAAACTGTGACAAATTCTAATTGGTGCCAACAAATAGTTCGTTTATGATGAAATTACGCCGACAGTTGAAGTAAACAGTTTTGTGGTCTTTTAGTGTTTCACTGAATTTTGTCGTGAATAATTTATACCATTCACTTTTTCGTGTAGGCTTATATATCGTAGAATGCAAGTTTTATCAAACTTGATGTTGGATAACACTTGTACTATTCTCATTTGTAAAAAAAAAATATCGTATTACTGACAAAACTTATTTGTTTCATGCTTGATGTTTACTAACGTGTTTAAAGTAAATCTGAAGCAACATATTTTTAGATATCTAAATATATCGGAACGCACTTAATCACGGCATTTTTAAATTAGAACTTTTATTTGCAGTGGCGGATCCAGAGAGGGGGGGGGGGGGGGGGGGGGGGGGGCGGGGGTTCCGGGGGTTGGAACCCCCCTTTTTATGACGATTAATGCATTTGAATGGGGACATATAGTTGGAACCCCCCTTTATCCTGGGTTAGGACAGCTTCAGTTGTATATCCATCATGACACGTGTGTGCTCAATATTAACCCTCGCATGCCAACTAAAAGTATAATACTACCTTTTTATTAAGAAACGATAGAAATTCGCATTCATCAAGCACACTCGTGTTCTAGCATTAAATCATACAAAATATTAGAAATAGAGAAATGTGGAATAAAGAATAGTTGATAACAACAATAGAGAACAATGAAAGTTTATTGTTTTTTGATTTTTTTGTCGTATAATGAAAGCATACAACAGTTTATTTCCTCCAAAAATTGTACCGATTAAAAGCTTGATTTTACTTCTTAACGTTGCTCTTTGTTGACCGAGTACCAGGGTTAACTGTCGACAAACTATAAACTCCGCAGTTAAAAGTCGTTAATATTTATGAAAATAGTCTATTCCATCCCTTACGTATACTGTTGAAAGTTAAATATATGACACGAACATTATAATTAGCTACTTCATCGGAGAGTTTTCAATATAATTCGTGTTAATAGCCATCATTGAATAGGACAAATTATAACTAAGTAGTGTTTCCTGTTGATAGTTGGTCAATTATATCTCATCTATTATGAAGCAAATTAAACTAAACTACAAAACGGGTCTGACGAAAGATACGTATCGTGTCATAAAAAAATCGTGCATCTCGATTGTAAAAACGTCATAGGTTTAGTTGGTTTAGACGAAGCGTGCACGTCTCTTTTGCATGGGAGATAAGAACGATCAGCTAGGTCAAACAAGACCAGAGGCAGGCAGCATATGCAGAAAGTAGGATGACACGTCTTGAAACCAGCACATTAAATATCCGCCTCAGAGTGTATGTCGAGTACACAACAGAGTTTTAAATTTCACTTTTCTTAAAATTTCTTTATATAGCCGTGTGTGATATGATGTAATGTCAAAATATTTGGCTATTCCTATTATCCGATTAAAGTAGTGTATTCTCTTGTATCTTACTCAATGGAAACTGAGCATTTGTAATTGCATTGCAGATTACATATTAGAGCGCCTACACACGATATGCATTTAGCTACTATTAACTCGTGAATATCCAATATTTGTATTCCTTTTACGCAATGGACATTCAAAAGTCCTTTATTTGGAGGAATGATTATATTTTGTATAGAGTTTTATTTTCAACAATCGTTCTAGATTAAATTAAATTCAATGAAAAAACCGAAAAACTATGGCTTGGATTCCACCCCGAATGTTGCTTGGTTGCCCCTGCAACTGCTCCCTATGAAGGAGAAGAAATACATCAAATGAACAAAATATAGCGGATAGTGCAGATTTATTACCTTTTGATTTTCAAGGTTAGTGTTACTACATGTATGCAATGAACAAACAAACTGTGTCAAAATTAAACGAAATGGGTCATGTCAAACGATTTAAAGATAACATCAATCATGGAACACAACTTGTTCCCAACAGTCTACAGTCAATGTGAAGCTTAAATTAAAAAAAATAAAACATGTAAAGGCTGTTCCAGCCAAAAAAAAAAAAAAAAAAAAAAAAAAAAAAACAACTTCAGTAACACCAAGTCTGGAGAAAGAGTCGAAACTTCACATCAGGGAGATAATGCAGCTAATATAGGATAATTTCCAAAATTCTGTAACAGAAAAATTTCATCTAAAATACTCGTTTATTGATGCCCGGTACCGAAGTACTCTATAACAAATAATTAAATAACTTTTTATGGAAATCCAACATTTGATAGCAGTAATTATATTTATGCTGCTACCTTCACTTTGTCAACTTTATGTAGCTGTAGGTGAATGTCAGTCCAGCCTTAACTGTATTTTGAAAAAAAAAATATAATAACTATTTCCTGATGTTAACATTTTGAACGGAGAATAATGTTACATACTAATTCAAATATAGCATGACTGTATATTATTTTGTTATGAGAATTAATCATTAAGTTATTCGAGATTTAAAACATGTCCACGGTATTTACTGTCTGCTTTTTGTACATTTTGACAGTTTTTCGTGTTTGCAAATCTGACGAAAATACAAATATACAGATTCCTTTAATGGATAATGTAAAGGCGCCACTTTTTGCTGATTTAAATTTGTCAACCGTGGCTCAACAACTGAAGAGAGTAATTCAACAGGAAGTGAAGCGCAGCGTACAAAACAGAATTAATGGTAAGTAAGTAGTAAGGGCAAAACAAACAAAACTAAGAGTAAGTCTGGGCAAACTGAAAAGGATTAAGGGTAAGTCAGGAAAAACAGAACAGGAGTAAGGATAAGTCAGGGCAAACAGAACAGGATTAAAGGTTAGTCTTGGCAAACAGAACAGGATTAAGGGTACGTCAGGGCAAACAGAACAGGACTAAGGGTAGGTCAGGGCAAAAAAAAAAAAAATTAAGGGTAAGTCAGGGCAAACAGAAAAGGACTAAGGGTAATTCAGATCAAACATAACAGGATTAATGGTACGCCAGGGTAAACAGAACAGGATTAAGGGTACGTCAGGACAAACAGAATAGGATTACGGGTACGTCAGGGCAAACAGACCAAAATTAAGGGTACATCAGGGCAAACAGAACAGGATAAAAGGTAAGTCAGGGCAAACAGAATAGGATTAAGGGTTAGTCTGGGCAATCGTAACAGGATTAAAAGTAAGTAAGTACTCTAAATCCTACTATGTTTGCCCTGACTTACCTTTATTCTTATTATGTTTGCCCTGACGTATCCTTAATCCTGTTCTGTTTGCCTTGAGTTACCTTTAATCCTATTACGTTTGCCCTGGCTTACTTTTAATCCTATTATGTTTGCACTGACTTACCATTAATCCAATTTTGTTTGCTCTGACGCACCTTAATCCTGTTCTGTTTGCCCTGAGTTACCCTAAATCCTATTCTATTGCCCTGACTAACCCTTAATCCTCTTCTATTTGCTATGACGTATCTTTAATCTGTTCTGTTTTCCCTGAGTTACCCCTAATACTGTTCTGTTTGCCCTGACTGGCAAACATAATAGGATTAAGGGTAACTCAAGGCAAACAGAACAGGATTAAGGGTAAGTCAGGGCAAACAGAACAGGATTAAGTGTAAGTAAGGGCAAACAGAACAGGATTAAGGGTAACTCAAGGCAAACAGAACAGGATTAAGGGTACGTCATAGCAAACAGAACAGGATTAAGGGTTAGTCAGGGCAATAGAATAGGATTACGGGTAACTCAGAGCAAACAGAACAAGATTAAGGGTACGTCAGGTCAAACAGAACAGAATTGGGGGTAAATCTGAGCAAACGGAACATGATAAAGGGTACGCCAGTGTTAACAGAAAATAATGAGGGTAACTCAGGGCAAACAGAACAGGATTAAAAATAAGTCAGGGCAAACAGAACAGGATTAAAAGTAAGTCTGGGCAAACCGAACAAGATTAGGGATACGTCAGGGGAAACAGAATAGGATTAAGGGTAAGTCAGGGCAAACAGAATCGGATTAAGGGTAAGTCAGGGCAAACAGAATAGGATTACGGGTACGTCAGGGCAAACAGAACAGGATTAAGGGTAAGTCTGAGCAAACAGAACATGATTGAGGGTAAGTCAGGGCAAAGAGAACAGGATTAAGGGTAAGTCAGGGCAAACAGAACAGGATTAAGTGTAAGTCAGTTCAAACAGAACAAGATTAAGGGTATGTCAAGGCAAACATACCAGGATTAAGGGTAAGTTTGAGCAAAAAGAAGAGGATTAAGAGTAAGTCAGAGCAAACAGAACAGGATTAAAGATAAGTCAGGGCAAAAAAAACAGGATTAATGATAAGTCAGGGCGAATCGAACTGGATTAAGGGTAAGTCTAGGCAAACAGAACAGGAGTAGGGATACGTCAGGGGATACAGAACAGGATTAAGGGTACGCCATGGCAAACAGAACAGGATTAAGAGTACGTCAGGGCAAACATAACATGATTAAGGGTAAGTCAGGGCAAACAGAACAGAATTAAGCGTAAGACAGGGCAAACAGAACAAACTTAGGGGTACTGTGCAGTCTTAAGGAAGACATATCCAATATTGTAATTTATGTCTTTATTCATACACAGAACCTCCGGGGAGGGTACAAAACTGAAAAGATACAAAATAAAACAAATTACCATGTTTGCAACTAGTGTTACCTAAAAAATTACAATTATGTCACTAACTGATTGCCATAACTTGTAAACCACAGAAAACTGCATGTGAATGATCCAACAGTTACCTACATGTAGATAGACATTTATACAACCTTACATGCAAAAGATATCTTCATACACACAAACATTTATGATATAAAGCAATCCTAATCAATGTGAAGTAAAAATTGTAAAAAAACTGTACGTTCATTAAATGACAATAATGGCGTTCCATAGAAATATTTTCTTCAAACAAACTGAGTAACGCAGATTTAAAATCAAAAATTTAAAGGGGCAACGTGAGACCAGACAGGTTAATTATCTTAACTTATACATGAATACTCAATAATAAGCAGTTAACGGGCGTTACAAGGATGTAAACAAATACCGGTCAAAATGCACACAATTCACCACTTTACACAAAACATACAAAAATTACAGAATGATCACTTATCCGGTGATCAGCAAAGTTCATAATACAAGTAATAAAAACTTACTCTGTGGTATCAGCACCATTATAAAGGAAATACAATGAATTTTCTGTAGTACAACTTTAGAAACACATTTGGCGGAAATAAAAAATCAATACATATCGACTAATAAAAAACCAAACAGTGCGGATATGTAAAAAAATCCGGGAGTCAGCACACTCCCCTCCTGATATCATAAGAAATCACTACATACATAATCAAGTTCAATTCATAAATACACAATAAATGAAAACTTATAAAGTTCACACAGTATTATCTGTTGATAAACCCATGTACATTATCATAATGTTATTATCAAGATTATAGTGTTTATTCAGGCTCAACAAGCAAAACGATTTGAGATATTGGTCTCACATAAGTTACTGGTTGACCATCACGAATGATTCGAAGTTCAACTTTACGAGTTTTTCTATCCTCACTGGGGAAAACTCTTTGAATGATACCAGTTGGCCAGTAATTTCTTGCACACTTATTGTCTTTCATGAGTACTACTGTTCCAACTTTAACATTTTGTTCATCCGTTTGCCATTTAGGTCGTACTTGTAATGAATGTAAATATTCCTGTCGCCACTTTGCCCAGAATTGTTGAGCGAGAAATTGCACATACTTCCAATGATGTCTTATAGAGTCTTTTTTCTCAAAATCGGGAAATGGACAAATGTCGTCTGCTGTTTTTTGAGTGAGCAGAAGAGACGGAGTGATCACACTTGGTGACTCGGAGTCATATGATACACATGTCAATGGTCAGTTGTTGACAATTGCAGTAACTTCTGCTAAAAAGGTGGTCAACATCTCATGAGTCAAGTCTTTGAAACGGGTTTCTAACAGCAATGAGTCCAATATTCTCCTAGACACTCCGATGAGTCGTTCCCATGCTCCACCGAAATGAGAGGCATGGGGCGGGTTAAACTGCCATGTAATTCGATTGTTGTTTAAAAAAGTTCTGAACATTACGGTCTTCAACAAATTGAGCAATAATCGAAAGATCCTGAGTTGCCCCCACAAAGTTTGTACCTCTATCGGATCTCACGTGTCGAACTGGTCCTCTAAGTGCGATGAAACGACGCCAAGCATTTATGAACGAAGAGCTGCTCAGTTCCTCAATAACTTCCAGATGAATAGTTCTAGTAAGCAGACAAGCAAATAACAGAGCCCAACGTTTTAATTGGGATACATCATCTCGTGTACGACGAAACGTAACTGGCCATGGGCCAAATGCATCAACCCCTACATACGAAAAGGGGGGACTTGGAGTTAACCTGTCTTTCGGCAAATCAGCCATCTGCTGAGTACAAAGTTTTCCTCGTAATTTCTTACACTGCACACACTTCCGTATGACTGAATTTATAAGACGTTTAACACCAACAATCCAATAGCCTGCATTTCTAATCGCTGCTTATATAAACGATCTACCTTGATGCGCAACCTTAACATGATAGTGGCATATGAGTAGAATTGCAATATGATGTCCTTTTGGAATAATGATAGGTTGTTTACATGAGTCACTTAGCTCGCTATGTTTGATACGTCCTCCTACTCTAAGAAGTCCATTTGAGTCGAGAAACGGGTTTAAGGGTAGAAGTGAACTATTTCTTGGGAGACGTTTGTTGCATCCCATTAAAGAATCTATATCCTCTTGAAATCCTTCTTTTTGAACTTCCTTGACGATGAATCGTTCGGTTTCCAGTAGTTGTTCTACAACATTCATGGTATTAGACTTTAATGTTTTTACTGATTTGTGATGTTTAATTTTGCTTCTAATACAATTGATCGCTGACACGAGTTTTCTCCACTCAGAGTATCTGTCAAATCGAGAAGAGACTGATGCTAATGGCTTACTTTCTACAGACGTAGTTTTGAGAGTTTCTATTTCAGGTCTGACCTCTCGATCCAATTCAGGATCAACTAAATTATGATCTGTTTTCGAAGTAGGGTCAATTTCTTGTAGAAGAAATGATGGTCCGCGAAACCATGTAGTAGTCCGAAGAGTTGCTGCCTGTACGCTTCTTGTTGCGATATCAGCTGGATTCATTTCACTAGACACATAACGCCACTGTCCAGGGTCGCTTGAAGCACGGATTCTACTTATACTATTACAGACATAGACGTAAAACCGACGACTTTTGTTGTTGATATAGCCAAGGACAACTTGACTACTAGTATCTGTATAGAAATACATGTTTTCAGTTTCTATTTTCAGGTGTTCTTTGATGATGTCGGTCATTTCTACTGCAAGTACAACGCCTCACAATTCTAAACGGGGTATAGTGTGCCCTGTGGATGGTGCAACCTTTGCCTTGCCCATTACAAAACTTATCTCAGTAGAATTTCCATCACTAAGTTTTAGGTATGCTACTGCACCAATTGCTTCTTTCGAGGCATCAGAAAAGATATGTATCTCACGCAAAGTTGCTGTGGCAAATGACACTGTGGTATACATACGAGGTATTCGCAAAGTTTCAAGACCTTTGAGTGAAGCTACCAATGCTTCCCATTGTTCCAGATACGAATCTGACAGAATGTCGTCCCAGTTAACTACACTAGATCCTATCATCTCTCGTAGTAACAACTTTCCACGAATTATCACAGGGGCTGCAAAACTAACTGGGTCGTAAATGCTGTTAATAGTGGAGAGTGCTCCACGTCGAGTAAATGGTTTCACATCTTGGGATATTTGAAATGTTATCTCGTCAGTTCCTATATCCCATGACACACCTAAGCTACGCTGGGTCGGAAGTTCGTCTGAACTTTAATCTAAATCCTTCAAACCTTTCGCTAGGTCGCTTGAGTCAAATTGTTCGAGAAGTTCTGTGCTATTTGACGTGATTTTGTGGAGACGCATCTTTCCACGATCCCATAAAGCTGACTGAGTTCGCTTAATAAGACTAACGGCTTCACTTACATTTTGACATGCTATTAGTCCATCATCTACATAAAAATGATCGTTTACGAAACCTCTTACATCCTGATCTTCATTTTCAACAGTTTTTCGGAAGCCGTAGGTAGCTATTGCAGGAGATGGGCGGTTCCCAAATACATGCACATCTTCATAAATATTTTGATATGAGCGTCACTGATGAGTCTTATGTAGACGAAACGCGCGTCTGGCGTACTAAATTATAATCCTGGTACCTTTGATAACTATTTATACCACTGGGTCGATGCCATTGCTGGTGGACGTTTCGTCCCCGAGGGTATCACCAGCCCAGTAGTCAACATTTCGGTGTTGACATGAATATCAATAATGTGGTCATTTTTATAAATTTCCTGTTTACAAAAGTTTAAATTTAAAACAGTATTAAGGGTACGTCATTACAAACAGAATAGGATTGAAAGTAAGTCAGGGAAAACAGAACAGGTTTAAGTGTACGTCAGGGCAAAAAGAATAGGATTAAAAATAAGTCAGAGCAAACAGAAAAAGAACAAGGGTAAGTTTGGGCAAGCAGAACTGGATTAAGGGTACGTCAGGGCAATCAGAACAGGATTAAGAGCAAGTCAAGGCAAACAAAACAGGATTAAGGGTACGCCAGGGCAAACAGAATAGGATTAAAGGTAAATCAGTGCAAACAGAATAGGATTAAGGGTTAGTCAGGGCAAACAAAACAGGAATAAAGGTATGTCAGTGCAAATAGAACAGGTTTAAGTGTACGTCAGGGCAAACAGAATAGGATTAGAAATAAGTTAGGGCAAACAGAATCGTATTAAAGGTTAGTCTGGGCAAACAGAACAGGATGAAGGGATCGTCTAGGCAATCGAAACTGGATTATGAGTAAATCAAGGCAAACAGAACAGGATTTAGAGTAGGTCAGGGCAAACAGAATAGGATTAAGGGTAAGTCTGAGCAAACCGAATAGAATTAAGGGTTAGTCAGGGCAACTTAAACAGGATTAAGGGTAAGTCAGTGCAAACATAACAAGATTAAGGGTAAGTCAGGGCAAAAGAACAGGATTAAGGGAACGTCATAGCAAACAAAACAAGATTAAGGGTTAGTCAGGGCAAACAGAGTAGGATCAAGGGTAAGTCAGGGCAAACTGAACAGGATTAAGGGTACGTCAGGGCAAACAGAATAGGATTAAGGGTAAGTCAGGGCAAACATAATAGAATTAAGGGTAAGTCAGGGCAAACAAAACAGGATTAAAGGTACGTCATTGCAAACAGAATAGGATTAAAAGTAAGTCAGGGCAAACAGAAAAGGATTAAGGGTAAGTTAATGCAATTAGAACAAAAATAAAGTACGTCAGGGCAAACAGAATAGTATTAAGGGTTAGTCTGGGCAAACAGAACAGGATTAAGGGTACGTCAGGAAAACAGAATAGGATTAAGGGTAAGTCATTGCAAACAGAATAGGATTAAGGGTTAGTCAGGGCAAACAAAACAGGAATAAGGGTAAATCAGTGCAAACAGAACAGGTTTAAGTATACGTCAGGGCAAACAGAATATGATTAAAAGTAAGTCAGGGCAAACAGAAAAGGATTAAGGGTAAGTAAAGGCAAACAGAACAGGATTACGGTACGTCAGGGCAAACAGAAAAGTATTAAGGATTAGTCTGGGCAAACAGAACAGGATTAAGGGTACGTCAGGGTAATCGGAACAGGATAAAGAGTAGGTCAAGGCAAACAAAACAGGATTAAGGGTACGCCAGGGCAAACAGAATAATATTAAAGGTAAATCAGAGCAAACAGAAAAGGATTAAGGGTTAGTCAGGGCAAACAAAACAGGATTAAGGGGAAGTCAGTGCAAACATAACAAGAATAAGGGTACGTCATTGCGAACAGAATAGGATTAAAAGTAAGTCAGGGCAAACAAAAAAGGATTAAGGGTAAGTTAATGCAATCAGAACAGGAATAAAGTACGTCAGGGCAAACAGAATAGTATTAAGGGTACGTCAGGGCAAACAAAATAGGATTAAGGGTACGTCAGGGCAAACAGAGCAGATGGAAGGGTACGGCAGGGGAAACAGAAAAGGATTAAAGGTAAGTCAGGGCAAACAAAACAGGATTAAGGGTAAGTCAGGGTTAACAGAACAGGATAAAGGGTAAGTCAGGTTAAGGGTAAGTTTGGGCAAACAGGACAGGATTAAGAGTACGTCAAGACAAACAGAAAAACGAGGTTTTAGCGAGTTTATTACTACTATGTAAATTACATAAAGAGAGTTGATATCAAGCAATATTTTATTCTCATAAGTTGTTAAACCTATTTCTCTTATGGACAACACACTCGTTGTTTTAAATTAAAAAAATCCGCAAATAGTCTTTTGCAGATACAAGTATGACGTTATATGTCCTGTTCCGGTGTCAAACTTCAACATCGGACATTACAAAACTTTTTATACGCTTCAGAATATCTAATAAAAGTTTACCAAAAGAAGATTTTCAGGTGAAAAGTGTGAGTGTTTTGTATATTATATGTCCTTGCCATGGACAAAATGAATGACTTAAAGAATAGCCAGTGAAAATGTCGTAGTATCGTGTCTTGGTGATGGATAAGCCAATCTAGTTAACACAGATTTCCTTGCAGTGTTATACAAGAAATATCTCTTCATGCAAAAAATAGATAACAGGCCGCAGAGAATGTTTGCTTATTCAGAAGTGAGCAGAATGATATAAACAGACCGATAACCGGAAATTGTAAACTGTTAATTGTAAAAGCTTGTTTCGCAGTATATTTTCTATGAATGTATTGCTATTTTGTAGCATTTGTTACAAACTTTCATTTCTAATTGAAAGGAAATTTAAGACGTTGCAAAACGTTTTCCCTTTTTTTCTCAATCCATTCGAAGTTCGTTGAATAACGATTTGTTATAAATGTTATTTATTAATTTGACAGATAGTGGGAATTGCGACCGAAAAATTGATGCAATGGAGAAAACCCTACAGGACTTGGTGTTAAATTATACAAATACACTTAATCAGCTGACACCGACTGTTGAAACTGTAGATTCAGGTACTAGTTTGTAAAATACTAACTTAATTTTAATTATTATTGGTAGATTGGGATCTATGTTTTTGTACATTGATCTTACTTTAGTAGATACTGTATCAGACATGATTCCTGTAAGTGTTGTCTATCATATATGTTGCTGTTGCCACATCTGATATTTCAATTATTATTTAAGTAGAGTAGTTTTTTTCTATCGATTGAATTGTTTCAATTTTGTAAAGTGATGCCGTTTGGGCGTCTATGCTACATACCGTGTTCTTTGTGGAAAGTCATACGAGGACGTATAGCTAGTTACTCAAACGTCGCGTGGACTCTAACTAGCTATTTTCTTGTTTTTTTAGTCCATGTTGGAAACATTGAATATATCAGCACTTTGTAGAATTTTAAAATTTTGATATCACAAAAGTGTTTAAGTCATGCAAAAAAAAAACTCATCATAGATATCAGGATTGAAATTTTGTATGTGCGCCAGACCCGCGTTTCGTATACAAAAGAATGATCAGTGACTCTCGAATAATAAAAGTAAAAAAAGCCAAACAAAGTACGAGTTTGAAGTGCCTTGGGGATCAAAAATTCATAAGATTTTTGCCAAATATAGCTTAGGTAATATATTCTTGAGATAGAAAGCTGTTATTGAAACAATAAAAGAAAATCTTTTAAAATTTTATGTTTATTGAATTATGAATAAGATAGAAATAGTTTGGTGAATGTACAGTAACAGACACAGCAGAAAATCATAAAATTACAATAAGACTAGATTATTATGACAAGGTCCTAATCTATCGGAACTAAATAACTTAAGATGGTTTCAACATCCGACTAATTGGTATATGATAAATATAAACTACATTTTTTATGTTTAAATGAAAAGTGATATCGTGTAAACATCAAAGCAATCTACCAGCACAATATATGAATATTGATTAGTTAGTCAACATATGAAGGGTTACTATATTGTAATGGAATGTCAATCATCCTAAGGAGCTACCATTTGATTTTATTGGCGGAAAAGGGGGGGGGGGATAATTTTGTCCTGCATTATTTTTAGCTGTAATCTCTGCCTTTTTATTTTTCACTCTATACGGCAATATATTGTTGTTGTTACGATTTTACATACCTGCCTTTTTTCACATAAATTATCATCCTTCCTTTTTTGTTTTTGCCAAGTTGCCTATCCTGTCCTTTTTTCACTCAGAACTCCTGTCCTGTCTTTTTTCAAATTTCATCCCCCCCTACCGACCCCCCCTCCCCTTCCTTCAACAATGAACAAAGCCCATAACTAATAGTCGGCTATAAAGGACCCCGGAACCACAAATGTAAAACAATTCAAAAGAGAAAACTAACGGCCTAATTAATCTATAAACAGTAAAAAAAAAATGCATTATATATCAAGATACAATCACGTGATGAATAATGTCAATGATGTCTTTAGAAGACAAAAATTAACCAGATGGAGAACCTATCACGCGAATATTTAGAATTTTGATCTCTTTGAAATGAATTTACGTGAACTGTTTAGGCTAGAATAAGATATATGTATGTATTGAACATCAAGATAGGTTTACTTTTACATTTGATTATGAATTATATTAAACAGCTAGCTGCCAAGAGCCATATCAGAAGATAGGAAAAGGATGCTATTTTATCAGTGATGCCATAGTTTCGGGTAATGCAGCCTTTGTACGTATGCATTACATATTATTCTGCTTTTATAAGAATTGCAAGATAGCACATTGTTAAATACAGTTTTAATATTTTTTTTCTAAAACAAATGTTATCCTTAATTTACCGAAATTCACGTTCGCATATGTCCATTAAGTAACGAAAAATAACAAGATGATGAGTGTATTGAATAGCATTGTACCGAATATACAAGAGGATATGTGAATGTATAAAGCTTTATACAAAATGCTGAGACATATCAATGCGATAAAATGAAGCCAGTATAATTTCTTGAGGAATATATGACAGATTTTTTATATTGCTTACGAAATAATGCACCAATATCTATTTGAAATTATGTTCTCGTATACTAGTTTCCATGAGGATACTTTTGTAGTCTTCAACTATATTCTATTTTAAAATCATACTGATATCGGTTCTTATAATATCTGATTAGTTAATGTTCTTTTTTCTTATATCACTAGGAGGATATATGTATGTGATATTATTATAATTTACACACGATACTGAGACATATTTAGGCGACAAAAAAAAGCCAGTATATTGCTGGCACGGTGTATGGCTTCTGACATAATGCACCAATATTACTTTTAAATCATGTTTATGTGTACATTGTACTACTATTGATGAGTAATCTTTATAATTATAAGTTTAATTTTCCCCTTAATTTTGCATGTTAAAAGTTATACCGATATCAGCCCTAGTCAATGTTCTTTGTTCTTATAAACCAGGCGAGCTGTACAGACCCTGGTGCCTATTTGGCTAACTTTGAAACCCTTGAAGAGGCCATGGTAATGAGGTTATTCCTTCAGAAGAAGAAAACAGGTAATTAGCAAAATCGGTTAGAGCTTTGTTAGAGGTGATTATTTGAATAGTTTTGCATTCTTCGAAAAGTATCAATATCATAACTAAATCAGACGTTTGTCTGTTTATAAGCTCAAACAATTCTGATTTTCTTAATATTTGATGCAAAACTTATGTCCTATATAAATAGCTTAAGGCTGTTTACATAAACAGGAAAGAGTAACTACAGAACAAGTTTAGGAAGTACAGTTATATCATGTGCTTAGATAATTCATTTGTACCTAATGTTTTAACGTAAAATGTTTATGGAAAAAAGTAAAAAAAAATACAGTTCTCCGAGGAAAAATAAAAAAAAACCGGAAAGTTCCTTATCAAATGGCAAAATCAGGAGCTCAAACACGTCAAGCTGAATGACAACAACTGTCATATGCCTGACTTGGTACAGGCATTTTTGCGGAGTGTACGGTATATTGCGGACGAAGGAAAAAAACCGAATAATTCTTTAAAACTTGTTGTATACATGTAGTTATCATCATTGCCCTTTTCGATGATGATGATGATGTTGATGATGATGATGTTTCTTCTAGGTAATCACTACTATGTTGGAGGACGGAACATCAACAGATATCTTCAAAACGGTGATTGGCGATGGATCAAAAATGGTAAAGTCACACAGATGACATACTTTGCCTTTGCTGGAGGACAACCTTCAGGAACAACTAAGGATGAACAGGACTGCATGTTTTTCTTTGCCAATGCCAGATACCAGTTTTACGATATTGAGTGCGATAATGAAGGCTATTATGGTGCTTATATTTGTGAAAAATAAAACGTGTTATAATAGTATTTAAGTAAAATAACATATGCATGAAGTGAGAGATGTTTGTTTGCTCGGTCTTTAGTTTCTATTCTGTGTTTTGTATACAATGGTTTGTATTTATGATGTATTTTGTTTGTCATATTAATTTTGATTGTCCGTCTGGTATATATTCTGTCATTTTAATGACAACGAACGTTCATTGAGAATCAAGAGGTTGTTAAAAGCAATATGTCTATATCTTATTTCAGACGTGCTTTTATTTATTCAGCGACTATTACATTATACAAACTAAAGGGGATACTACATAACAACCACAATAAGATAGTGTTGTAATGATTAACACGATCTGGTCAATAAATGTAGTATAATTAAAAAAAACAAACTATCATATAGAAACCAAATGAAGTGTGTGTCAATATTTAAAGGTTATATTACTTTATTCTGCAATACGCAAATAAAATTGAGAATGGAAATGAAGAATGTGTCAAAGAAAAAACAACCCGACCAAAGAATAGAAAACAATCGAATGCCACCAATAGGTCTTCAGCACAGCGAAGGCGTGCTCCAACTGTGCCCTAAACAAAAAAAAAACAAAAAAAACAATATAATCTAGTACGCTTTAAAAATAATCGGCATGACACACGGTGATGTTTAAAACAAGATACATTTCGTTGTTGTATTTTCAATTCCACTGCCTTATCATTTGAAATACGATGAACGTACTCAACTGACAAAAAGTAAAATGAAAATGGTTGAAATCTACAAATAAGCCATCCATTTGTGTCAGCATGTGTTGGACAAAAGCCATGAATACCACGTAACGGCAAATTATCTTCATACTTCAAAATAAAGAGAAAGGCCAACATACGCGAAATATATTTTTAGGGCAATGACTCATATATATAAGTACTCATATGCAACTTGATTGATATGGAGAGCAGGCAGATACAAATGTATTAAATTTGTTACACCGTAAACCTTTTTTCCAGTATCAGATGTTCAATTCTTTGAAATACTAAGCGACAAACTGGATCTGTCGAATAATATTGGTATTCGTTCAGATGAGTTATATTTCTTTAAAAGGTGCAGCTTACCTATATCCTGTCGATTATATATTCCATTTTGCTTTTTCAGATAATTGTATTGAATGACGTTATGTGAATCTAGATTAAAATTATACGTAAGTGTGTTTGTGCCACTAGTCCGTAGGTTATCCGATGTTTGGATATACCAATATATTTAAATCAGGAATTCTAGCGCATTTAAAAAAAAAACAAAGGCACATATAAAATATTTTATAAAACGTTCAGTATATCATGTATATATAACGACAAAAGAGAAAATTATGGAATACAACTGATGCGCAAACATGTTTTTTATATTTCTTCATTTGGAATTAACAAGATACTAGTAATACATTTGAGAAGCCAAACATTCATTAAATGCAAGGCTTGCAAAATATGTTGACAGCGAGTTATCGAATTTAGTTCAAAGGGTTAGTTTTGTAGTGTAAATAAAACGTCTCAACAAGGAAGTGAGAAGTAAAATGTGAAGAACTCTGTTAATGGCAAGTCTGATCATGTAAATCAATCGATTTAGTTTATGGCCGTACTTCATTTTAAACAGTTAAAGCCATATCCAGTCTAGTATAGTAATGTAAAAGCAGAGAAGACGAGCAATAAACCAAACAAAAGGTAAAAAATAAGATACTTAACAATATAGCAGAATACAGATAACAAATAATTGTCGAATAATATAATCAGTGGCATCAGTTGCCACGTAGTCTCAGTAGTTCTTATTGACTAGGATTGCCAGTTTTCTTGCTTAAGACAGATGGTTCTCTTTTGGTATGTCGGCTTCATATATGAAAAAAACAAACTGACAAAAATCCAATAGTGCGGAAAGTTACGATACACACCGATTAATCAACCAGTAAAATAAAGCCAGGCAGCTTATGTCACCGTTTATCATGATCAAGGTATTATATATAACCCCTCCTACAGCTCGGTTAATGAAATACATACATACACAGTGACAATTTAAAGAAAAAAAAAAAACATTGGCCTCATCAAAAACATGGTGTCTTGTTAAATAGCTAGTATCCTATTATCATCAGACTTTACAAACGACTCTAATATGTCACTCTGATCCGATTCCGTTTATTTGAATTAAAATGAATTAATCTATTTTACGGATGATAGCGTAACCTTTGCGGATAAGTGTATGTCATATGTCGGTAAAACCATATATAAGATGAAAAAACGAACGTATGGTCATGGATAAGACACTTTCAACCACACAAACGACATTGTTTATCAACAGTTGTGTCAGTCCAATCATTCCTACAAAACGGACTTCACGATGTTTCTTTTAATGACCACCTGCCACTGATACAGAATATGAACCCCGAAGTCAAAGTATCTAACATCGCTGTTCACTTCACACCAACTACTTGATAAAAAAAAAATTAGATATTTAAAGTTTTGGAGAAAATCAATTACAAAGGTATGATATGGTTGTGCAAGGTTCCTTTGGACTTTCAACCGAAGACAAATAAACGGATATTCTTTCGATGTTCTGGATAACCAAATTACACAGCTACATAAATGTATTTAAAAAAAAAAAACGTAATGTTGCTGGATCTAACAAAAGGTTTCACGACAATTGCTTCCAAGTTATAAACATCTGAAATCCTTTGAAATTAAAGAATATACTTCCCTCATCTCTGGTTCCTAATCCGAGATTGGCAATAATTTTGGTCCAGTTCAGCTATTTAATGTTTCTACTATGGTTTGGTTTTTTATATAGTTTTGCCTCAGGCATCACTGAAAATAATGTGTTTTTATCACTACTGATTGACTGTTAGTCAACTAGGGTATCACCTGCCTAGAAGCTCGGTACAATTTAAATATTATTCCTAATATACCTAGGAAAAGTACCGATGTTCAAATCATATAAATCGACTATAAAGACAAACTAAAGTAACAAACAAAAATTGAAAGAATAACATAAACACACAAAAAAAAGAAAGAAGCGAGAACGCCTCGTCAACAGGATAATCATCTCCTGCTGTGCATGTATCATCCGACATGGGAATCCATACGCATTCAGTATGTCACAATAAAAAATTAGACACACTCGGTTGTTACAGATGAGATTTTTCTTGTATATACAGATCTATATGAACCCTTGTTTTAATCGCGTCTTTGTAAACATCTCGTCAGTGAAAATAATGTTGTATTTCATAAAGAATTGTTTATCCCTGCCTAAAACATGATACTCGTATTGGCGTTTGACATTCCTTTTTTTCGTCTTTCAATCTCTAAAGAATAAACTATGCTAATGTAAAGGGTAGAATAAA